ATGTCTTAAGATGCTAAAGCAGCCCTCTGATTTGTTCGTAACTCTTCAAGACTGAACTTAAGACGGTTTTGAATATAAGAACTGACTATGAATACCGACCATAGTGATATCCAGGGAATTAAATAAACAGAAGCAATTATGGAGCAATTTTTGGGCTCCTTACACGCGAAAAATCGCGAGTGGGCGCGTGGTGGGATTGAACTCTGACGGTCTGACCTCCAGATCGCGAGTCAATCGTACCGAGCGGTGAGTCATTCAACGCCCTTGATTTTATTATAATCATTTGCTTACATATGTATATGCATTTATGCATCGTTTAGATCGTTTAGACTTTAGATGATCACAGCTGTAGTCGGTAACTCACTTACCATGGTAAAAGGTAGGAACAAACATAGGGGTTGGATTATACTAGCCGTAATCTGTTAACTTATGCCGTAAAAATTAGTCAATTATAATCGATTATTCCCCTCTCATTCGACTGTGATTGGTCAATTTTTACAGATTACGGCATAAGTTAACAGGTCAGTATAAATTAACCCTAATGGGCCTTCTACAATAAGCCATAAGTCATAAATCGGAAGTAAGAAACTAAAAATTGACGACTGTGATTGGTCCATTTCTAGCTTATGACTTATGATTTGTGACTTACGGCTTATATGACCATAAGCCGTAAAAATTGACCAATCGTAATCGATTATTCTCCTCATATTCGATTACGATTGGTAAATTTTTATGGCTTACGGTCATTGTAAAATAGGCTTTAGGCTAATTCTACAATGTGCTTTTTATTTCCTGTTTCTTGCTGTTTGTGTCTTTTGCCTTTTTGAGGCAAAAAGACAAGAAACAGGAAACAAAAAGCACATTGTATAATATAGAATTAGTCTTAAGACAGAAGACGTAAGCAGTAAGCAAATTGACCAATCGCAGTAGAGACCGTAAGCGGTGGCCGCTACGTTCTCAACTGTGAATTGGTCAATTCGCTTATGTCGAAAACTTGGTTATACACGTCACATGAAAAAATTGGAGTAGTAGCCACTCTTCAGTCTCTTTCCTTTGTCTATGGCGTCACATAAGACATAACCTCTAAATCTCTGATAGCCTCGTGGTACTTCCTAAAGGTTAGAGCTGAAGACGCTTTAATTTCCTTTAAAAGATAGCCTCGTGGTGCCCGGCCTGGTCTTGAGTCATTCATATTAACAAGTAACTGTTTCGCTGCGGAGTTACACAGTCCGATAGCTGGAACTTGGGTTATAACCTTATACAAGATGCAGCATGACGACGTAAGTAAAAGCTCTCTAACTACAGTTTTCAATTTTAATATTTGTAATTATTACGATTTTATTTATAACAAACAATTTTATAGGTTGTGTGGAGTGTTATCAATAAATCATTCTGTTCTTTCAAAGTAAAGTAAGTATATCCTTAAGCATGTTTGGATTTCCACATGGGTGCCTCCTGGATGTTATGTTATCCTTGTTGTTTACCGAACGTTAAACAAAGATTGCATAATACCTGAGAAGCATCTAAATAGAAATTAGAACACGTCTGAAGAGCAATAAATTAGGCCTGTTCTTTTTACTGAATTGATGCACAGAGTGCAATAAGTTGAAGTGAAGCAAATGTATGTATGTTTCATTTCAACTTATTACACTGTGTGTACCAGTTCAGACAATGCAGGCAAAAAGAATAAGCCTATTGTAACAACCTTACCAGCCTTACTGTCATTAACATAATTTTAACATCTTTTTTGCAGTACAAAGACACAGCGGTTTTGCAGAAATGAATTTAATCTTACTGGTTTATGTAGTAGAGCTGCGTGTCCTCTTGCAAACAGTCAATATGCTACAATTAGAGAGGAAAATGGTATTATTTACCTCTACATGAGAACTGCAGAAAGGTAGGTTAAATATATGAATTGTAGTTATTAATCTATAGCATTAATATTATTTTTATAATACTTAAAATTATAAATTTTATGAACATATTAATAAAAGAGAGTATGTGGATTAGTTTTAATTCAAACATAATTGTAGCATTCATAAAATAAACTTGTCTTCATATGTGTATCCATTATTTTTATACATATATTAATGAGTATTAATATGAGTGTTAATTAAGCTTTTTTTTTATTTAGAATACATACACCTAAAAATAGCTGGGAGAAAGTCAAACTATCCAGGAATTTTGAAAAAGCTATTCATCAAATTAATGAAAATCTGCTTTACTGGCCTGGTTTCATAAAAGCTAAATGTAAACAAAGATTTCTCAAAATCACACAGTACCTTATTCGTATGAGAAAATTCAGATTAAGACGACAGAAGAAAATTGTACCACTTCAGAGGAAAATTGAAAGAAGAGAAAGGCGTAGGGAAGAAAAGGCTCTGATTGCTGCAAAACTGGAAAATGCAATTGAAAAGCAGCTTATGGAGAGGTTAAAGAAGGGGATGGTAATAGAATTTTATATTCATTATAAAATTTTATGTAAAGATTAGTTATCTTTTAAAAATATTGTTCTTTTCATGTTTCAGTATGAAGGCATTTACAATTTCCCACAACGAGTATTTGATAAAGCTGTGGAGGCTGTTGAAGTTGAAGGAGAAAATGAAGCAGAAAGCGAGTATGAAGAAGAACAGGAGAAAGAACTCGAGAAAGAGTTGGAAATGGAATTAGAAGCATACGACAAAGAAACTGAACAAGATGATCGAGAATATGTTGAAGCTTATAGCGACGATGAGGATTACGAGGACGATGATGACGACATTGACGAACTTTCTATGGTAAGTAATGAAATAGTCACTGAAATACAATTGTTTTAAAATACAATTTTTTTTATAAATATTGCATAATATATAATATATTGTGTTATAAATGTTGCATAGGATGAAGATAGTGACTCTGGACAGAAAGAAGAAATTGAATTATCCGATAGTTTTGAATCTGAAGCTAGTGATATTGAGGTAAGAATTTTAAAGGCCAAAGTAAAGTTTGTTGCACTACAAGTCGTATATAAATTGCTCGTGTTTCCTTAGGATTTAGTCATACCATCCACAAGTAAGACAAAAGGACCAAAAGTTGTTAAAAAAGGAAAAGTGCAAAAGAAACCTCGAGCGAGAGTGGAAATTGAATATGAAGTGGAAGAGGAGAGTCTACAGAATAAACAGGCATAGCAAAATTGTATTATATAAATATAATTATCTTTATAATAAAACCACAAAATATCGTATATGTTATTATCCAATACTTTGGTTGACAAAATAATTGTGATATTAGGCGATTTTTGGCGTGCCTTTAGTATAGCAACCAAGAGCAACCGTGGTTGAGGCTATCTTTGTCTTCTGATCCCTGAAAACAAAGATAGCCTTAGTCGCGGTTACTTTTGGTTGCTATACCAGAAGAAAATAAATGATGGTTTTTTTTTTTTTAAGAAATTGTATGAAAAAAAATTAAATTTTTAAATAATAAGCAATTAGTCTTAAAAAATATAAATTAAAAAAAGTTATGAAAAATTAAATGCTTGTAGGTTCATCGAAATTTACGAATCGATATTGTAGTTATTTATAACAGATGAAAATTGGAAAAACAAATTACAAATTTCTATTTCAATTTAAATTTTTTAGAAAGAAAAAGAAAGAACTATAATATAAATTACGCAAATTTATAGCACAATTTTAAATCAAACTAATTAAAGTCAATATACGTTTGCATCCACTTTTGAAGTATAATTTTCTGTGCTATGATTTTATCGACAGTGTCAGAAAATGGATGTAGCCACGTAGTTCCCAAACCGAAAATGAATATATACTGGCAATAGGGTACGAGCAATTTTACTTGAAGAAAACGTCCGACATGGCCTGTCTCAAGTTTTTCTTTGACTCTACGGAAAATATATCTCGTCGGGGAGGGGAATCGAAACTTCCGTAGCAGCGTAGCAGACGATACAATTAATCGCGACGAGTTAAAGACAAGTTGAGACAAAGAGAGAGAGAGAGAGAGAAAGAGGAGGCGAATCGCCACAATTGTCCGTCGCCGAGAATCTTCGAGAACTGGAGAAACCTTCCTCAGCGAGTTTGCCTGCCATTGGTCGTCCGCGATCGAACTCGTGAGAATCCGATACGTCGCCGCGAGACAAAGCGAGGTGGTGTCACTCGATCCGCACTCCGCAGTGCTTCAGCATTGCGCATTCGTTGAGAATCATCATGCACACGTTGACATTTTGATTCGGAACAGGAACTTGGACAAATTAAACGCGCCAGGAGGCAGGAGCATGGTGACTGGACCGCGATTTTGCCCTTTCGTCCGCTATTTATAGAGCTAGCAGGTTACTTCTAAAATCAATCGCACAAGTGAAACGCGAGATGAGCGGTGCCGGAATGATACGGTGTGATTAGTAACGTGAGAATTAACACAAATTGACATTGCAATATACACAATGTTACTGGTACTTTCCAGCGAGAGACAGTATAACGCAATAATCATTTCATCCTTGTTTAACATTAGCTAACAACAAAGATGTAATAATTCATTGTGTTGTTCGTGTCTCTTGTTGAAAAACATCTTACAGTGCTTTATTGTATGTGATTTAATTTCTCTCTCGATCCGCGCAATGCAGATCCCATGGTCTTATCGAGCAATTTGTGCGATAAACTAGAGGCGGTGCGTAGCTATCAACGTGTTTGTTATGCGGATTTATCTCTATCAATGAAGATTTCGCAATTCACAAGTGTCCGCAGAGCAAGCGCGTTGTCCCTCGCTGGGAATTAAATCTGATATTTTTGCTCTTAATTTCTCCGACGGTTACAGTGTGATCTCATCGAACGAATGACTCAAGGGCGTCAACGAATGATAATCTGCTGTCTTCTTTGCCTCAGGGATGTCGTGGCGTGCGGAGTGATGGATCACTGAACGGATCTGCACAGTTGGAGAGCAACATGAATCGCACAATTATCTGACTGAGATCTACTCTTCAAGTTATCTTCGTAGCTTCACGCACAAATGTCAGGATGTTAAGCGGTGCTGTCAATATGGAACTGAATAATGTTGTGAGCAACAAAAGTTCCGTATACCTTGCACTGTCGTTCCGTAGGCTATGTTTGGCAACAGTTAGCTTACCACTTGTATCGCTGTTGTTCTGTTTCATCACAGCATATATATTTCAACAGGATGATATCCATGAAACTCATTGTAGGGTAAGCGAAAGTTTTATGTTATTGTTATGATGAGAAACAAGACTTGTATTTTTGTGTCATGAGTAATACTTTTTTGGTTTTCTTTTAGGTCTATAATATTCTTCCATCGATCTCAGCCATTACTGGAGTATCTCCACAGAGATATCTATGGCGTATCAGTATAGCATTACATATTGGTCCTAGACTGGTCATCGCCAGTGTTTATCATTCATATTATTACAAGATACTTAAGAATATTGAAGATGTGCCTCTACAAATTACAGGGAGCAGACTCCTAAACCTATGCTACTGGCTAAACATTGCTGAGATAGCAGCTCTGTCTGGTGTAACATATATTTCTAACAGAGAAAATTATTGTAAGTAACTCATAATTTCAATATCTGCTACTAATGTTGTATTGAAAGATAGAACATATAAGGTGCTTTTGATGCTATCAGCGCTGTTTGTGTTATTCTGTATTTATCGCAATTTCATCGTTCATTAGTCGTAAAACATTCACAGAATGACATAAATAGTGTTAATAGTAACACTTTTGATAAAAGATATAAAAAAAACATTTCAGCGGTGCACGAAAAAATTTTCATAGTGTTCATGATTAGCTCGCTCACATACATGTTGACTGCTGTAAGATTGGGTCGTCTAATAACTCCAAATGCACAAAGTCTTCAGTACAAACAAGTGCTTTTTATGACGAGTCTCGTCAGTACAATCTTTCTTATTATTTTCTTTTTAAAACATCGACTGCTGTGTCATGATTTGGGTAAGAAATATAATTCTAAATGTTATATTTATTATGTAGTTTAAAGTAAAAACATAAACAATAATATTTATTATTATTTTGAACAGCATTTAGTTGGTTTTCGCTATGTGAGTATGTGATAGCTTTTGCAAATATGGGCTTTCACATCACTGTGGTTTCGGACTTTCCAGAAGAACAACTGATCGTAGGTCACGGTTTACCTGCTGTGAAAATAGATTAACCTTATAGGATAATTCGTCATTCTCATCGTCATATTAAAGTATCTATTGCCTCTGCATGGAAGTGCTATAAATTGTGGTTTTTAAGAGATGAAAGTTTGGCATGCCACGTGATACACAATTTCACGATTGTCTCAGTTTTATGATATTTACAATATTACATTGTGTTTCTCTCTTGAGATTGTTATAATCTGCTTCCAGCAATATTTAAGAAACCAATATCATTTTTATCTTTACTTTTATATTCTCTCGCAATATTACCTACGATATTCGACCAATAATTCCAAGTAGTAGGATATGTGAAAAGGATGAAATATCTAGCGCTTCCAAAATGTGGCACCGGTTACTTTCAAAGCGATGAAATATGTAACGGCCTTTTAATATTGTTAGTAATAGAGTACAATCATAGTAAATAATAGTTGGAAGAAGTATCCTACATACAAACAGCATTTATTATTAAGCGCAAATTAAATATTATTACTCAATCGTATGAGATTACTTGTGAAGATTTTTTAATCTTCTTTTATAGAAACTTTTGCAAGGTGAGAATCTAGTCGAATATGTTAATTCTAGTCGCGATCTTTTATTCGCTTTATGATACTCCTATTTTATCTAATAAGTTGAAATTAGATTATAAGATACATTTATGTCAAACGAACTTTGAGATATTCTAATCATAAGTTCATTAAATGAAATATACAATTTTGGATTATTGCAAAGATATTGTACAGTTGTGTCTTGTTAACAGATCTTACAATGAAAAATCATACGTGTATATGTTAGTACTCATTCACCTTGTAAGAGATTAATTCATCTTGTATAGATTTTGGAATAATAAATTCAACTAATATTTACAAGCCAATCTATTTGGCATTATTGTAACTGCACAAACGTAGGATAACTGCTCCTATGTTTGTATGTAGTATACGGCAGTTTAATAATAAATCGAGACGTTGACGGTTAAAGCAGTCATAATCGTAAACAAGGATGCGTAAAACGATTACGTTTGGACCAGTGTGGGTTCAAAGGTAAGATCAGTATCTAAGTATCTTACATAAATTTATAAGACAAACGTTTAAAGAATTTCTGTCAAATTTTATGACTGAAATCTCGCCATTCATTTCTTTGTTTGAAACATGAATAATTTGTGATACATGACATGTACATGATTTTCAGAGAACATAAAACTTTTTTATCTGTAATATTTTTTAAATTGATATTTAATTTTTAGCTATCAATACTTAATATTAATACTGTAGAATTTTGGAATATTAAAAATCACATTTCTGATGTGATTATTTTAAAATCATCTATAATTGTGAATTTTAATTGAATTTTAATAGTAATTTTTAATGAAAAAAAGCGCTCGATAGGATTTAACATGTTTTATTAAAAATATTGTTAAAAATTATATAAAATTTTTATTAATATTTTATAAGTGTTTAAAGAAATCTTGTGCATATTTTTTATTAAGAAAATTTCACGGTCATAAGATTGAGACAAAGTTGCATACGTGCATGAATAGACTGGTAAGGAATGATTACATTCAGACTGCGATATCTGCGCAGAATATCTCTTGATATTGTATCAATAAATATAAAGTAAGATTTATTGTACTAAGCGCAGATGGTACGTTATCGCAATGTGTCTTTTAGGATTTCGTTGTAAAAGGCCGATAGTGTCAGTATGACTCTAGATAGCACCTGCAGTTAAATGATCATTTTTGCACATTTTTACACATGAACATTGTAATTGTAGCATGTTTTGATATGACAACTTTTTGTTAAGATTCCTCGTATACCATTATTGAATAAAGGAAAAAAGTGAATAGTCAGTATCTATTTATCGCTAGTTTCTCGTAAGTATGTAATTATGAGTAATCATACAAAGATATGCTACAAGCTTTAGGTGATTTTTGTAATGATCATAAAGAAGTAGCGCTTTGTTTTTTCTACACACGCAGCAAATGCAATTACCGAAGAGCGTAATATCTCAGTTCCTATTATAATTGGAATCTCATTTTCGTGTATGTATTACTAAGATAAAAAAGCAGATGCATTCAACAATCATATTTAATTTACCGATACCATTATCAGAGGCCGTGCCAAGTGATGCACTAAAATAAATCACACCTGCGTCTTATGCTTCGTTGGGCAATCACTTTGCTCTTCAAACATATTTGTAGCATGTGGATCTTGTGGAATGTTTTTTATATTGCATTATATATTTTATTTTTAAAAGAAGAAAAGTATATTAATATGACTAGATCGATTATAACAAAATGTGCTCATTCTGTAATGAATTGTAAACTTATGTTGGTATTCTTGAAGAGTACATGCAAAGATATATTAAATAAATTTCATAATTTCTTGAAGGGACAATCCATTTTTACTTATCAATAAAAATTGATCGTCCCTTCAAGAAATTATGAAATTTATTTACTATATCTTTGCATGTACTCTTCAAGAATACCAACATAAGTTTAAAATTTATTACAGAATGAGCACATTTACTTATCAGTAAAAATGGAATTAAATATGAAATAATCTGTAATAATACTTACGTCTCTAACATTGTATTGATTTAAATGAGAGATTCCAATTAATTTATTATTTTTAAAAGTTATTCTCGAATTCCTCAGGGAATCTATTATTCTAACTAAAAAGATAAGGATAAGCGATTGATGAAGCATTCTGTATATGTTTTAGTTGGTAAATAATAAATGACGCAAGTTATATTGTGAGTTATAATACCGAATGTCTCTTATTTAAATAAGTATAAAGTAATAGTATATATTGAAAGTTTTTTTTTTAAATATGGTGTTAACTTGCAAAAAAATAACTTTCAAAAATATTATAAAATGAAAAATTTAGTTAGAAAATATGGAAAGAGTATTATCTATTAATATTATATTTATTTTATAAGTGCTAATGTTGAACATAATGCTTCTAAAGGGAATTGTGCTTTTAAAAACATTTATTTAATTAATTATCATTTTGATTGTGATTGTGTACCTTATAATCGCTTTACGATTTATCAATACTCATGAATTTATGGTCAAGATGTCAACACACCTTCAGAGTCGTTCGAGAAAACTACATTATAAAGTGTAAGAAAAAATGATTTATTGTTATCTACTCTAAATATTTCTTCACTTTCGTAAGATAAGCACGCACTTACGGTAGAAGCTTTTAAGGGTGAAAGTTCTGGAAGCATATTTAAAATTTTCGTCGCATGATTTTACATTGGCGATAATAATTAAACATATCTCAAGAATTTTTATCGTAATTGAAGTTCTCTTCTTTCGCTGTAAATAATGCTAGCACGATATATATCTATCTTATACAAACGACGAAATTAACGGCATATTAAGTAAATGATGTTTCGCCCTTGATTGGTATGACAATTTAAATATACAAGCTTTTGAAGTGAAATATTTACAAATACTCACTATCGAGTTGCAGCTATCTTTTTTCTGAGACTTGTATTATTCGAAATTATTTTGCTACTAAAACTTTTTTTCTATTTTACTTGCTATGTATATTAAAATTGTACCGACGAAGTGCTACGATCTCACAAAGGAACTGCGCGTTCCCGATATATTATTTGAGTAATTAACAATTCTGTGATAATAAGCATAAAACAGTGTTGCTATATTTCATTTCATAAGTTAGGCTTTGTTTATTTCTTAAATTTTTTCTGTGAATACTATTACTCCATTTTTTTTTAACTATATACTCTATTTATACATATTTAAGTATGCCAAAAATTTTAATTGTATATTATCACAGAATTCATTTTCCCTGTTCTTATATTTAAATTGAATTTTTTGTAGGTACAAATCGCGTTATTGAAGTAAAGAATTAAGTAAATAAGTAGTAGTAAATTTCTAATTAATTAGTTTTATAAGTTTTGTAAGCTATCTTTAATACTCCTACGCACAATCTGATTTTGTGAAATTTTATCAAAAAATATCGAATATAGTTTGCGTATATTATATCAATTATTTTACTTTCGTCGCATATGTATACGTTGTGTCTACGACAAATTTCCAACTTGAAAATATTCACAGTGTCGAAAGCAAACTTACGCCCAACGTCTCTGATATATTTTTTATCTCTGCCACAATCCCGTGTACTATAAATCAGAGTGAGAGCAATCGAGCCTCAAATCCAGTTGAAATCTACAGCATTGCCGCGAAGGTAATTGAACTCTGTTGACCTTAATGTAAGGGAATAAACGAGCGTGATTAAATGGCTATCGTGTGACACGAACGAGAACTTTCATCGTTCTCTGCGTAACGAAATTTAACAAGTCGCTTTCTTCAGTCGCGCCGAAGATTGGACGAAGACTCGAACGTTTTGTTCATATATACTGCTACTGATTTTATGTCACTATAAGAAATAGCTATATTTTCCTACACTTTCGCATACATACACATGTAAACACAATCGGTCGAGCTATTATATGATGTAAATGTATTTCTGATGAGCATGTACGACCGCTTTGTAATATAGTGTATATTTCTTGTAATCGGTTTAGGGCGGGTGTCCTATACTGTGATTAAAAGTGTATTTCTGTATATGTGATGACTTGTAACAACACTGATTTCAATTAGGAGAATGACTTCTATTTGTATCGCGTAACAAAGAATTGTCAAATAAAAATTATCATATACAACCAGGAGAATGTTTTTGTTAAATCTCATTAAACTATAAATAATTGATGTATATATCTTTTTAAGAATTAAAACAAATATAATTTTGATAAATTCAAATATTTTTGATACATTAAACAATCTTTATAAGTATTAGCGAGTTAATGTTAATATAATTATTTTTTATATTATATAATTATTATATTAATATACATTTTTTATTCTCTCTCTCTCTCTCTCTCTCTCTCTCTCTCTCTCTCTCTCTCTCTCAAAAAAAATATATTTTTTATATTTATATATATTTTTTTTTCTCTCTCTCTCTCTCTCTCTCTCTCTCTCTCTCTC